TATTACCACTAAAGCTTTTCTGCTACCAATCAAATGTTATTTTAACATTACCCATTATTTTGGGGGTTCAGTTCTATCTTAAAGCACCCCTACTCCCTGCTCCTACGCCGTTACGCCATTCCAGCCCCACACAGCCCTTCAACAAGCAATGATCCTCGCTCAAAAGGTGCCTGGAATTCAGGATTGGGGTTAAGCGGAATAAGTAATCTCCATAGTAAGAGGATACAACAGAATGCTCTCGTACCATCGGATATTACAAAGTTTGTTTGCACGAGTATTAAAAAGAGGTTAAATTTCAATATCTGAAAGACAAATATTCTAGGAAATAATATTTAGAGTGGACCCTGTCCATTCGAGCAGATAATCAGAATGAATAATTTACAGCCACACTTTCATCTCCACTGCAGCTGAGAAGAGCTGCATTGTAAGGAGCTTGGGGAGATGCCGACACATCTGCTCACCAAGTGGAATAATCGGGAGGACTCCAAGCAACAGTGGTCCAGTAACCTGTTTAACTTAGGTGACGAATGGGACAGGAAGCAGTGGGAGGAACAAGGAACGCAAAAGAATCAACATGCTCGTGGTGAGGTCAGTATTTCATGCTTTTGCAATACTGCACATTCTGCCTCGGAGATTACAAGCGCTATGCCAGATTTTCACCTCTAAATTGTCACAGCTTCTGCCTAAAGGTAGCGCAGGGTCGAGGAAGGGTGCCTGCTCACACTGACCTGGCATGCTTGCATGCAGGCCTTCCTGCTGTGCCACGAGGACTCAGAAGCTGAAAATAACATCATGGCAGCATCAATTCATCCAGATTGCTCCAGTAACAGTAAGCAGCACATAACAAACAGCTAACAAAGCAAACACGCATCAAAGAATTCTCCAGAAATTCAAGCAAGTCCCACCATACATCTGGGAATCAAGCATCATTTGATAATTTTTCCAGTCATGTGTATGAGATTGAACTAACAGACTAAACACTAATTTTGTACAGATGTTGTTCAGGTGGAAGGATGGTGAAGTTTCATCAGGGGAAATCATTGTAAATAGATCATAAGAATCTAGAGGAGTAACACTGGCATAAAGAAAACCCTTGTTACAAAGTAGGCAGACAAGAGGGAAAAAAATCTATCTTTGAAAAGATTAAAGAAATCTATGTGTACAGCTAGCAGCTGCCAAGATAGACATGCAGTCTGGTGTAACTGATGAAATACAGGGATCCAAAGGACCCTGCAACAGTGTCAGGGGACAGCCATAAACATTCTCCTCCTATCATTCTGCCTTGACAGGTTTTGCTTATTCACATCTATGGGGTTTTCTGTTCAACACCACTGCCCGTGTTTGTTACCCAAAAACAGGAAAAAGCAGATGGACATAGGTATGATTCAATGTATTACAATGAAACGGGTCACCATATAACCAGACAACCAGCAGAGTAAAAACTGCACAATTTGGATCCAAGATCCTCTTCCCAGCAACACTCTGTCCACTAAAACAGCACTAGGACCATCAGTCTCGGAGCTTAAGGGTCATCCTGAAGTTAGCTTTGTTTACCTAAATACAAACCCAATGAAAGCTATTAATGATGGATGGTTCACCTATTACCTGCCTTGCCTATTACTTACAACATGCCTTGGCTGGGGAGCACTTTTTTTTTTTTAAAAAAAAAAAAAAGAGTTTCCAAAATGCTTCTAGCGTACTACTATGCAATAAAAAGCATTTCTGTAAGTATACAAATTTTAGAATCATAGAATCGTCTAGGTTGGAAAAATCCTTTAAAATAATCACATCCGACCATTAACCTAGCACTGCCATCCCAATTTTACCAACAGTAAGCAGCCTGTAGCAGAAATTTACAAAATTCATTCATGAGTCCTGAATTACACACCCAGCTGAGCAGAATAAGAACCAAGAATAGTCCCAGCTTTGGCATACAAAATTCCCTTTTTTTTTTTTTTTAGCCCAACATGTTAACTGAAGATTAGCTTTACAATACATGTAAGGCAAATCAAAACCAACTGTGCACATCTACAGTGTGTCTGTGGTCAACTAGATCAATTAGAAAACGGAGTTCAGCTAGACCAGTCTAAAATGAGATTACATCAGGCTCATACTGGGAAGCTGGGTTTCAGTAGCACACTTCTTTAGTTTCTGTGTTAAGCTCAAAATAACACAGAAGCATCCATCATAAAATTAAACTGAAAACACACAGGCCAACAGCCAGCCCCTGACAATAGCCACTACATCCCCCCCAAAGCTCAAGGAACTTGTTCCATCTCCTCTGGTAGGGACTAGAGCAGTGTTTTGGGCACAGTTTGAATGCAGCCACGCGCTAACCCTGGCCTAAGGCTTCTACGAACAAAGGCAGAAGGGCTTAAAAGGAAAGCATCAGGGATGCAGAAATACCACTGAGACCAGAAATATGGTCTCAATCCATTCCCAGTACAAGCCTTTCCTAAAGCTGCAGCTGGTGGAAAGACATCTGCCTTCCCTCTGTCACCTCTGCGCTCCTATGGGCAACGGCAGAAGAATCCACTGGCTCAGACCTGCCCGTACAGACAGCTCAGTCACTCCAGCGCAAATAGCCTGGCCCCATCCTGAGCCACGCACAAGTTTCAGAGGGGAACCCAGAGACTAAAAAGCAAACCAGACTCTAAGCACAGAGAAAGAGAGGGAAGGAACACACTGAAAACAAACTTAAAAAAAAAAAAATCCAACCACTACACACATACTCACATTCACTTAACAAACAAAAGGTGAAGGAATTAGTATAGCTGCTCTCTACTTAAAAGTGGGTCAGGCAAGACAGAGTTAAATATAAGTGGTTCAAAACAGTTTGGATTACTTCATTCTCTACAGTACAGAGGAAGAGACCCAATACCAAAACACTGAACAGAAGGCACTTTTCCTAAGTAGAAAATACTAAGTCACTACTTTCCTCTTGTTGAGGTTTTGAAAGCAAAGGAGGCAGAAGCACAAGTTAAAATTCTTTTAACACTTAAAAGAGCATAAATATAATAGTGTACCATTTTATTCTTCACCTTCTCTCTCTTTGCCAAATATGTTTACACACAAACATCACAGCACTTTATGGAACATCAGCATACCACAAGCATTGAAAAAAAGATGACAAAATGGTGAATTATAATACTTTGGAGTTCTACAGCTAGCAATGCAAGGCCCACCTGGAAATTCTAGGTATCACAAGCTAAGTCACATTCAAACATTAGACCACAAAATTTTATTAGTGCAGACACCATTTGCTCCCATTGTCAATAATAAACTGGTGGATAGAAGAAAAAAAAAAAAAAAAAAAAGTCTTGTAAATGCTCCAGTCTTCCATAAAAATAACGTTGGATTTTCAACAAAATTAGTAAGTTGTCTTTAAAAGTTAATAAAGATAGCCAGTTTGTCCTACACAGAACATTTTAGTTCCTCTTAGCTAGAAAACTGGGTAAAAAAAAAAAAAAAAAAAAAAAAGTCTTGTAAATGCTCCAGTCTTCCATAAAAATAACGTTGGATTTTCAACAAAATTAGTAAGTTGTCTTTAAAAGTTAATAAAGATAGCCAGTTTGTCCTACACAGAACATTTTAGTTCCTCTTAGCTAGAAAACTGGGTCTATGCTGTTGGAGAGAAATGTCCTCTAGGTTTGTGGGTGTTTTAAAGCCATTTTGCCACTCAAAATTTAATAAAGCAAGACTTTCCTCTTTTGCCAGTGTATTGCTGGCAAGTTTTCCTCGGTTTTCCAAAGATAACCCAAAAATTTTAGATGATGCCAGGACCACAAGAACGATGCCATAGAAATCTAGTTCTAGGACCTGCATTTTAGAGAACAGGGTGATTGATTTAACAACATTAGCAGGCTGAGTCAAGTGAGCAGCTAAGTGTCAGGTTAAACCTAAAGATTATACCTGCCTGAGCATTGCTTCAATGAAGTTTTCAGCTTAGATTGTGCCTCTGAAGAGTATCAGGAAAGATTGCCCCACCATACACACACTGTCTATTAACTATTGCAGGTTTTGTTTTAAAATTCTATCAAAGAGTAGGTAGAGTTAAATAAAAAAAATTAATATTCCACATTATTTTAACTACGTCATACCTCATTTCCCGATCCTAATCAACACAAAGAAAGTAGTTAATAAGCTAGTACTAATAGTGACTACCATTAATCATGTTAGCCAACTGACTACACTAGAAGCAGCAGTTGTTCTTCTGCTTCGTAAATATGCAAGAAAGCCCAGAACCACATTCAAAGGGGTTAGTGAAATTAACATTGCACTGCAATTGAAGTGAAAATAATAATGGTAAGGAGGTTAAAAAACAGTATGAAATCCACATGAAGGGCAAGAAAGTAGGGAGTGAAGCAACATGAAGGCAAAAACTATTCAGTGCTTCAAAGGCAATAAAAGGAAGAAGAAAGATAAAGTAAAGGGCTTTATTGAGAAATTTTGCACAGATCAAACTATTCAAAATGCAGTGAGCTTAAAACCAAACGCTGTACTAAAATAATCTAGAACACTCAGTGGCAATAAACACATGCAAACAAGAAAATATACTCATGTCCACATACGAGAGGTAGCACAGCATTCAGAGAGAACACAGAACGAAGGATGAGACTCTTCCAGTTCAAATCACCAGTAACAAACCAGGAACCAGTATCTCTCTAGCAGTTATCTCCCGAAGTGGCTAGCTATCACAAGAAAACAAAGGTCTATCCTCAAGCAATGAAGAAAGTACTTCCACCAGTGAATGCCCTTATAAGCAAGAGGAATCCAGCTGTTGAAGTCCCAAACTATACAAAGACATTTATTGTTCTCATGACAGAGGACAAAGAGTTCTAACAATCAAAAATAGCACACAGGCTGTGGAAGGACAGGCATTTGCCCATCAGTGTATTAAGTTTACCAATTTAGGAGGACTGAGGACAGAAAAGTAGCTGGACTATGTGTCTAGCACCCAATGCCAAGAAAAACATTATTCTCTGTTACAATTTGCTTACCTTCTATAGAAGGGGCCTGGTCCACAGCTGCATATAGCATCTCTTTCAAAGCCTGCAGGGAGAGGGAGAGACCAAGCAATACAGTTAGTATTAAAAAAAAAAGACATTGTTTTGATATGCCTGTTTGAAAACAAAAGCAATTAAAGCCCTTTTATCCTCCAGACTGACACAGAAAGCTATGAAATGTGATGTCAGTGCTATCACACGTATTTCTGTTAACACGAGAAACACAAGGTCATGTTTACTGACTGCTTTGTCTAAAGCCTGTTACCTTACTAATCTATAAAAATTCTTCCGACTGTATTTTTCAACATCTTCCTTTGGAAAAATGTTTCCCAGATGGTAGGATGTTAAAGGTTTTACATTAAAAAAAACAAACCAACCAAAAACTGTTGCGTGACACAGAAAGGAGGTTGTCAAGGCAAATGGAGGAAAAGCAGCCTCAGGGATTTCTTATCACTGTTATATAGGAGTACAGAAACACACATACATTCTAGAAGCTGAAGACAACATGACGAAGGAGATTAGGGAACCAGGGGTGACAGCCTTCTTTTGAGGTGGAAACTGAAGGACAACGTTAATACCAGCCAGAATTATTAACCAGGTCTTCACTTCCTGGTGGCACCATGAGCTGCCTCCCAGAGACCACAGGAACAAGCCGCTCACCCACACTCAGGCTGCTGGTGCAAGAGATGAGCAGGGCAGGCAGCAGGACCAGGAGGCAAGGTGGTCCTAAAGCCAAATACCAAGCACCCTGGCAGTAACCCCTTCTGTTACCAGAGCCAGGAAGGAGGCACCACATCAGAAACCTCATCACCTGCAGCTCCTTTTCAGAAGGCCTCTTTCAGACAGTTATTAAGATGCTGGTGTTATACCAGCCATAGACCAAAGATTTGCTCTCTCTCACATCACAAGTGCAAGCTAGAATGAAATAAACTGAATTCAGATCAATGGCTGACTGAATAGGTTGAACCATAATTTTGGAACAAGAAGCCACCAGAATGGGCCCATTCCTACTGCAAAGCGATTTGTTTACACATACCCCACATCACTGGATAAAGACAAGCACCTTAATGCACATACTGAATGTGAGCATGCTTCATGCAGCTGCTGCAAAAACTGGATTTTATTCCCTCACTTTTGAGCCCACAGAAATTTAACTCACAAAAGTCATTTAAGTCCTTCTGGTTCCTCTCTACTCTGCCTGCTTCCCAACATATCCTCTACTGCTACAATCCTACACCTCTGCATTTACTATCTCGTGTGTCATCGTCCCCCAGGTCAAGACATCACAGCCTTAAATAACAAACACCCTAATAACCTCAAGGCAAAAACCACAAGCTCAGCAGCTGGAAACTCAGCACTGTTGTAACATGGTGGTTACGATCCTCTTAAGTAAATACAAGGTCTAAAGGACATGTCTGTTTATCGCAAGATATCCCAGGTGGGAGGCTACACCGGCAGCTCAGGCATCTCTCAAAGGTCTGATTCCTGAATCCACAGAGGTCTCAACAAAGGTCACTTGCGTAATTGTTTTCCCAACTGAGCCACTGCTGAATGATCCTCTCCCCAGCCGCACAGCTCCCCTCTACCCTCGGTGCTTTTTTTAAATTCCTCCCAAACACTGGCTGCTTCAGTCCTTTTTCCCCCCATGACTCACTGGCCAGCAGCACATGATCGGCCTCCATGCATCAAGTAGTCAAAAAGCCTTCCCCCTTTTTCATCCCGCTCATCATCCTCTCCTACCTGTAACTTTTTCCATGAATCACAACCACATGGCATAGCATAAACAAACCTGAAAATTGGAAATTAGAAGTCACCGTAGTAAGAACGCCATCCCTTAACTCACCCAGAGGTAAGCCTGCAGTGTACTTCCCATCTCTGCTTTTATCAGTCATTTTAAAAAGCAAATTAAAAAGGACCACAACACTGACGATCCTGCACTAAACAGTCTTGAAAGCTGAAGGTGTCTGTCACCCCGCAGGCCTCTCCCCATGCAGACTGACATATTACAATCTGGCAGCTGCAAGGCAGCAGGTTTTGTTACCACTTACCTGACCTATATAAGTAAACCAAAAACCTGAAAGTGAAAGGCTTGGTGCTCCTTCACACCTAAAGTATTTAGTCCTCAAGATTACAGAATTTTAGAAGTGATTGGTTCCAGAAGTTATCCATCACTGTCAACTTCAAATGTTTAAGAATTACTCTTTCTACCCTCAAACTAGACACAAAGGGTTATTTCCTTACTTTAAATTGTGCTAGTGATACTCCATGCACCTGCAGTAAACTCGTATAAATGTGTATCAGACAACAACAACAAAAAAAAACCAAAACAAAAAAAACATATTTAAAAATGCAACTGTTAAACCTTAACGGTGAAGAAATTCAAGGACAAAAACCTTAAAATGTTTAAACAAAACCGTTGTTTTAAACGAGTAGTTTTCAAAACTGCTTATGCTCTTCTAAGCTCGTCCGCTAGCACCCAGAAGGACAAATAGTGAAATAGCACAACAGATTTGTGTCAGGAGGTGGCAAGCCTGGGTGTGAACTGCCTATCATGAAGCAGGGTTTGACGAGCAGAATTGGCCACCTCCCAAAAAACAGAAAGCCTGTTTCTGGAAGAGAGACCCTGAAGGCAAGCAGGCTACCTCAGCTATCAATTTCGTTTTCCCCACCTATTTCATGCTGGAGGTTGCGTCTCAGAAAAATGATTTCTAAAACTTCGCAACCTGTTCCTCTTCTCCAAAGGCAAAAGCACTTAAAACCTGGAAGTCTCCTTAAAAAGGAAGGGAAGACACCCGCTCGCACCTTTTACCCATCTCTCCCATGAACTTTGTACCTGTAGTAACTGTCCTGATTCTCCTTCTTCGCCAGATGCTGCAATTTCAAAGGTATTGAGCAGTTTTTCTGTAAAAATACCATCAGATTTCTGTGTCCAGATAAACAAATTCAGGCCAGATTAACTGAAACAAAACTGCCATCTGGCAACTGTAAAACTTCACCAAATTTCCATCAGGCAGACGTGCAGATGTATACTTACGTTTAGAGGTCTGAGCAGAGAGCGCAACACTCTCCTATTTCTCCTACAAGCACTCCAGAGATGGACACAAGAGTAAAGGAAATCTGCGGCCTGATTTGTGGCTAAACGAGAGGACTAGCAACCCAACAAATTCATAGCATCAAAAAATGCACATGAAATGCAGTGAAGCACGCTCCTAGCACGCTCCTACCAAAAAAGCATCAGCTGAAATTCATCCAAGAGTTACCTTAATTTGTTCAGTACCACGTGAAAAAGAGAATTCTGTTGCCTGACACAAAAAGATGGGATCTTGTCTGTGTTCATATTTTATCTTCACGCCAAAGGAACCGAAAGTAAATGCGTGGTTCAAAACTTAAGGTTTTAAGACAAGTAGTGCACTGAAACAGTGCATGCCACAGCAATCGTTCCCTGGCTGGGAAAAGGCTATTAACTTCACAGAAGAAAGTAAGCTGCCAGATCCCCTAAAAGAAGGTGACCAAACCTTTTCACTCCCACTGCCAGGGTGAGGGTATATTGACTCCTCTCTGCTGGGGTCTTTGCACAGAGAAGGCAGCAGGCATAGAAACTTGAAGCATTGCTTTTAACAAATAGGAAGTTTTCGGATGACAGATGTTGAAATCATGAGCAAAGTTGTTTAAAACTTTGGCATATTTAGCGTTAAGCATATTTAACAAGCACCTCCACAAATTAATCATTTGTCAGTACCTTGTTTTAAACTCTTAATCACGTCCAGGGCGCAAGTAGCCTGAGAATGACACTCAGGACTTCAACGGTAAAAATTCCCTGCTACGTTGGGATGGTACACTGCCTCATTGCACTGGTCCTCACGTAAAGCCCTCCTGATCATTTGCACTGACCCAGGTTTCAAGACCCATCGGTTGGGCATGGAGTTTGCATAGTAAACGTGACATACAAAATTTAGTTTCATGCAATCTTTAGAATGGAAATTTGGAATGGAAAGTCGAATCAAGTCAATCAAGGTTTGTGTAAAGCTCCATGTTAACATTGATTCAGTCATGGCAAATATCTTTGAGAAAGGCTGAATGAAACAGAATAGCATATGTCATCATTTTTCCCTCTTTTCTACAAGCCATGTGTTCTTTCTTAAAAAAGCAGATGGACAGTAATGGTCACTGCAGAGCTTTTGCTGAAAGAAAGAATCTAAGCCATAGCTATCAATGTGTATCTTCTTTTTGCCTGTTTAAAGAAAGTGAAAGGATTTTTCTCTCCCTAAAGCTCTTCCACTGACTGAGTATCTGCCCTAAGCTCGGGAAACTTCCATACTTCCTCCAAGCCCAGTTATAGCCCTTAAACCAGATTTTTGTTGGAGGGAAAATATTATGGTAATGGTAAGAACTTTCATGACTGTAAATTGTTAAAAGACCATCTGAAAGCGAAACTACATTTTTAGATATTCAAAACACAACAGTCTCATCCCTCTTCCTGACATTACCAGCAACAGATTCCACCCTCCTCCTAGTTTGACTGGCAATTGATGGGAGGCAAAGAGCCTTGCAGCCCCATTTGCTGCACATCCCATCAAACCAGAAACACGTCACTTGGTGAGGATCTCACAGGTTACCTGGGTCTTACCACACTTTGGGGCTGTCTGACTGCGTGAGTCACCTGCTCTCCAATGGAAATAACTACAGATATCAGAGTAGAAAAATAAGATGACTACAGGTGAGCTTTATGATACAGAATGACTTAAAGCAATTTCTATACCATCTTCTACTCCTTTCGTCAGCATCTTGAACTTGACATGGGAAGCCCCTGGAAAGAGGAATAATCTTTTCAGAGTTAAAAAACTACACAAGATCTCTCACTCTGAAACAGTGTTTGATTACTGTTTTAATTAAGAAGAAAAAGATATAAACTGTCATATGAAGAACCATTATAATGCTATTAAATATACAAATAATTTTTTAAAATTTTACCATGATGCATACTGTAATCAATATTGCATGCAAGTAACACAAGCAGCATTTGGCCTTACATTTGCTAATCA